GGGCCGCGGAAACCGGATAATTTTGTCTTCAGAAGCCTAGTATCCAGCATTTTGTGCGGGCTGTTTATGATGTCTTCTTTAGAGGAAATTTTGTTGGAATCACACTATGAGGAAAGGTAACAAGAATCCATGGCTGCATGTCTGTCGAAACAGTCAAAACCTGTGACAGTCGGGTGGTGAACAGTCTGTGAATTTCTGGCATTCTAATGCACCCAGAGAACAATGAAGGTCAGAGGTGCGTTTTACATTCGGCCACGAATTATGATGGGTGCTGCTGATGAGCTTTAGCTGGATTGAGACTGGAACATTCGTCTTAGTGCTACTAGTGATACTATTAGTGAGAGAAGAATACTAAATATATTTTACAATACAAGGCACAGCAGAATTGATCTTGAAAAGATGAAAACGGAACGTTTAGGACTGCAAATGATCGGCAAAACTGAGTGCAGGGAGATACAGCCGGCCCATAATTGCTACTTCTTCAGACTAGTTTTTGGGCAACAATGAAAATCAGACTAGCATATTATGGATGATCAAGTCGATTTAACAAGCCTTTATTACTACAGTGGGTGTGTTCTTCAAGATTCTGCACAACATCGGAAGACAGGTGTTACTTGATTTACAACGTCATCTATTCACCACTGGAGACAGATACGATCATATAGCGATTTTAACGTGTATCTGCTGACCGAACACAACGCGAGAATGATGACAGTTCATCCATCTAATCAACCTGAATTTAAGTCATCAACTAAAGGGTGCGAGGGTCGGAAGTCACGTAAACCAGTTTGGAACTGGTGAATAAAGTCCTAGAAACATTTGAAACGAAACCGCAAACATTAGACCCAAGGCGAAAGCTACCTCTATTCGTCTCAACGCAGCATCTTGAATGCAGAATGCAACAACTGAAAAGATCGGAACGTAGGTGTGAAAGTGCGTATGGCTGTAACAGCATTTCGATGTCCAACTGCCATGCCACCCAAAGGAAGCACGAGGGCTGGGGTACTGCCAGGTCGCCCAAGCCTAGACAGGGGAAGTCGAGAGGCAGGGGTCGGGTTCGAACCACAGATCTTTCGGTCAGTAAATTCGCGCTCTAGCCATTTGAGCCATCTTGTCCCCGGACGTGGCAATGCCATGGCTAGCTATCAGTGAGGCAGTCTAGAGTGACTGTACTATACAGAAATTCTTCAGTGCGCGTATTTCACCTGCTCACTTTTCCTCTATTGTTCATGATCAAAGTCGAGACAGCTGAAAAGCATATATCGTGCAGAACGGAAAATGTCCCAGGCGACGCCTTCGAACAGCGATGAGAAATCCCACGGAAAGCGGAGTAAGTAGGAGTTAAGTTTAGGGCTGGCGACTTCAATCAGTGAGGAAAGTGATCCGCACAACTAAATGCGGTAAAACTAGTCCGTGTGTTTTCAATCATGCCTAATCAATCTCGAGTGAGAGAAGGGCTGTTCTGTGGGGGTTCACCGTTCTATGGCGCTCTAAAAGGCACACACACCGTCAACCATGTGAATTAATCCCATAAGAAGCAGTTCTGAAAACAAAATTGCACAGGCTGACGACATTCGAAATGGGACAGGAAACAGAACTAACCCAAGAAATGGTCCACAAGCACGGTTGAATAAAAACCGAGCAATCGGTTCTGCAGGAGTGCATGCAAAGTGATCCGCTCGTGTGGCCAGGTAGACAAGCAGTTCGATGCCTCGGGAGTTTAGCAGAGGACACGAAGCTCCTTTGAGCATGCAAAGATCGGCGACAAAACTAGAAAATAGTGTAAAAACAAAACGATCCATACAATCCAAATCACAAAAGAAAGAAGACGTCGGTGTCTGGTGCAAAGAATGGCCGATTTCAGATATGAGATGTCTGGAGCTATGAAACAACACGAACAAAAGGAACAATGTCGACAAGGTTCGATCTCCTATAGAACGAATACGTCTCTTTTTCACAAAAAAAGCTTTCACGCACGTAAGAACTGTTTATCCTATTAGCGAATATACACTCATTTACAAACTAATGTGGTTTTTCGAGAGACCCACTGAATCTCTCGTTTGTGATGTTTCCGGATTCAGCTGCGCTCCAGGTGAGCCTCTCGAAAAACCAAATTCGTTTGCAAATGAGTGTATATTCGCTAATTTCGTGCAATTTGGTTTCGAGTAGAACGTAAGGTGGACAGAAACCCGGGGGCTACGCCTAGCTGATGAGCTCCAAAAAAGACGAAACCGGTCGTGGGCTGTCGACAGATTTTCAGCAACTTTATGAGTAGTACATTACAAAGATAAACTGGTTATCCAGTTTAGATTTCTGGAAGTATGAATCCTCCGTACTAGTAAAACTTCCCAGGAGCCAAGCAGGAAACACTTAGCCCAAAAGGGAGCAGAACTCAAGCCGAAATGAAACGGCCATCGCGATGGCGTTAGCGACTTTATCGATTGGAATCTGATGACCCAAAGCAAGGATTCCCACGACCAGTGATAGACACTTTTGTTAAATGCGTCTAGTACCCGCTGTTCAGTTCCTTCCCTATTTGTTTCTCATAATCATCTGGCACTACAACAGCGGGATATCTTACTGATGGACCCAACCCCATGGATCCTTGGTGTATCGCCGACCAAAACTGAAAGAGCGTGCACACTGATGGACCCAACCCCATGGATCCTTGGCGTATCGCCGACCAAAACTGCATGCATATGTCGTTATTTATTTCCGGATACAATGTACTGTTTAAAACAAAGAGGGCATCAAAAACAGGGGAATGAAAGCTAAAGTGAGCGTAGAAGGGTGATGTCTCTCCCCGGAACTATGAGAGGGGATATACCGATAGCTTGCTTATCGTGGATAAAACCGTCAGGGATCCCGGATAATATATTCAAGTAATGACAACGGTTGTTTCCTCAACTAAATCTACGATCTTTTGGCGCTCGGAATACAAACTGTTTGTAGCCTGGTTGGATTCGCGCTCCATTTTGGGTCGGAATCCGAATTAAGTGATGTCTCTGAATAAGGAGCCGTTAGTGTTTCCCACAGATAGAGAGAGAATAGCCATGGCACAGGACCTAGGGGTGCAACCATGTGGAAGTGATCAACTAGCGTCACTGATAACCAACCCCCCGTTTACGTACATCAGTCGTCTTACATATTTTAACCATGAGCTGAAAGAGCGCCGTTTTTTACCGAAGATCCCTATGAGTGAGAATAAAAACCATTGAAAGTACTCACCTGATCCGGTCTGTGAGGGTTTTCAATCGATGACTTAGTTCCAACGCACCGGAAGAGGAGGAACTGATTGGTCGGCGAAAAACATCCAGTTCCTCTTTTAAAACTAGTTGGACAGCTTCCTCATATGCCATCAGCCATTGCGATATTGCGTGGATGAAACAAGCCCACGTCGGACCTTGCCAGGCTCTACCCGGAATGGGGGCGAGAGGCACGACTTTGTGAGCGAACCAATTCAATCGGCGATAAGCAGTACCGGCTCGAAGGTGTTCTTTGACGGTATTGGCTAACGCAGCTTCGGAAATGCCCAAACTTACGGCATCCGTCCTATTTGGGCAGTGAGTGAAGTGACCCGCCAGTGGTTGATCTCCACCACCCACTTGCCCCATCTTCGTTGGTACGTCCCAAAGAAACCGTGTTGATTGGAGCCCAATACGGAGAAGGAGAAGATCGTGGAAGAAGCGGCGACGACTATCCCTAGTCCTAGAGTTCGTCAAAAGCTCTGGGGTCAACATGTCCGAACATACGTTGGACTCGTTTTCCGCTGTCCGACAGGATGAATCGAAATTGTAGCGTTCTTGGTAGACATCATTTAAAACTGCCGAGCCCCACGGGCCAGACTCGGTTAAAAAGGGAAGCTCACGCGGATCTTGATCACTAGAGGTACAACAAATGGACAATTGCTTATCAACACAGAGGCAGTGGATATGAGAAAAAACATTATTCTCTCTGTTATATCTGCTGATTCGCCAATCTGAGGTAGCTGCTGCCGACCCGCTCCAGTGCCTAGTACCGGAGAAAAAAGACTCACAGAAGGGAACACAACAGCTATGTTCCGAAAAAGCGACTGCGAGAGCGAGTGCGTGCGAGTGCGAATGTACAACGGTCTCAAGCTATTCATTGGAGGGACAGTCTGAAATCGGTCCAATGCTGACAAACACGGTCTGGCTTTGGTACGAGGCTGCATATTGCGGGGGCGTTGTCTGACCTTGATCAACGCTGATTCGCGCTGTCTGGGTTTGATACAAGGCTGTGACGCGCTGCATATTGAGGGGGTGTTGTTTGTCTGGTCAAATCTAGCGGAGCTGAGAGTCTCCGTAGATTTCGGGCATTCAATGGTTGCTTTCAGGAAGCTGACCTTCCTCACTCCCTAAATGAGGAACCTAACGAATTTGGCCGAATATTCGGCAGTAACGACAAAAAAAAACGGGATTCGAACAGTGAGAGAGCTCGTAAGGTGATAACATGTCAGAGAACGAGCACTTTCGTTAGATAAGATAATCAACCGGTTACCAATAAAGATATCAAGTAACGTGGCGATAGAAAACCCTCCTTACAAGTGTGACATACTTTCCAACCAGAACGAACGGTACAAATGAAGCAAAGTGAGACAAGTTCCGAACTGTCTTAATGAAGTCCTTTCGTCGGCGAAGGCAAATGAGCATAAGCGTCAGCAAGCAGCCTCACAAGGAACCCTGCGGAATGCCCAAAATCAGCGACGATAGGTTGACTTACCCCATCAATCAACCGTTATCATACTTTCCGTAGGACCCTGAGATTTTAAACCATTTTTGCACCAAGTAAAGGCTACAACCACGTCTCATAGGCTAAGTTTCAAAACGTTCGGAACGATGGCTACTTTCCAAGCTGTGGCTACCTAAGATCGTACCAAGGTTTTCAGATTCCGAAGCGCACATCTGAAATTCGCATGCGATGCACGGGTACTCCATCACTATCAAAAAGACGAAACAAAATCATCACCAAGCCAAAAGATTTAGCCTATTGGTAGGGAGCGCGAGAGTGCGGACGCAGTTTCCCCCAAATTCGGGAGCATAACGATGTACCGTAAAAGCCGTAAGTTATCGTGAATAATCCAAATAAAGAACGACTAAGCTCCTATTTGGAAGGTGCAAATGTAATGGAGTATGATAAACCTCAATTGTGAATGGTAACTAGATCGGCGTTCAGTGTGTTGGTGGTGTGCACGCTGTGGACACGTAACTAAAGTGAGACAGATCGCTGAAGGCTATAAATATCGTTCAGCTGTAGCACCCTTTCGGTGCCTAGTTGCCATGCTACCTGAAGTAAGCACGAGGGCTGGGGTACTGCCAGGCTGCCCAAGCCTAGACAGGGGAAGTCGAGAGGTAGAGGTCGGGTTCGAACTACGGATCTTCAGGTCAGAAAATTCGCGCTCTAACCACTTGAGCCGTCTGATCCCACACACTTACGACTGATCGATAATCTTGGCGATCAGTATGCGCCTACGTACGGTTGCATCCGACTTATTGTACCGTTGTTTAACCAGCGTGTTACAACGTCTTCTGGCCTCTGCAAACCCAGGAAAGCACAGTTGTAGAATAGCATGGCGAGGCATGAAAACCGCTGAAACCTTGGTAACTCGGTGCAAAAGTAATCGGTTTTTAAGCTCTAACCGATGCACCCCTCCAAACAAATGAGAACAAGACAAAATTCTCCACACGTTTGTGGAAGTAGTTCACTGGGTGAAAACGTCCAATCAGAGAAAACCTCATTACTGGCTAATGCATAAACCGTCGGAACACTATGCACTATTCATAAGGAGCGATCAATGAGAACTATCGTTGAGCTTATAGCTAACACGCCGCACGCCCGGAACTGACTTCAAATCGGATAATACATATGGATAGAAATAGCATAGGAGTCTTTATCCTCGAACGCTGTAGCGCTCACAACCAGCCATAGTGCCTCTTCTGCCTCTTCTACATTCCATCATACTGTATCTACTTGATACATGAGTACGTCAGTGTTGGATTGAGCGCCGGATGTGTGTCCGTCATCGATGGACTCGTCAAAGAGGAAAGCTGTCCCTTCGGATTTTGTTCCTCTTACGATCAATCAGCTATAGGTTACACGGTAAAGCCTCTGTTTATTTTCCGACATTTTCAAAGTTCCCGCGAACTTATTGGTAAATTCCCAGAAGAAGAGATATTCTGCTGAACACAATCCCACAAGGACCTCTTTAAGTATCCTCACCTATTCAATCGGGTTCGTGGGCCACCAGGTGAACGCTAATCACGCTTAGAGTGGATGCGGCTTGTCTAAGGATCGCATTTTTAGGTAAGCACGCTAGGACCGTGCGTGTGCAAAGTTTCGTTAGTGAGATTTTTCAACTTGACTTTTGGGGACGGAGTTACGCCACTTACTAAACTAGTTTTTCCCGAGATTCGAGTAAATAAGGAAGCCCGAATAAGGATGGTCTGTAAAGATGGTCTGTACGCGTCGAAACCGGAAACACCGCAATTCTTGACACACTTCTGGGGCGAGATTGTTCAGTGGTTAGAGAGCTAATTTGCTGACCGGAAGGTTCGCGGTTCGAACGCGGCCTTTGCCTCTCGACTTACCCTGTCTAGGCTTAGGCGACCTGGCTGTATCCCGGCCCTCATGCTTTCTTCTTAAAGCATGGCAGTTAGGCACCGAAGGAATGATACAACTAAACGGTTGATTTGATTTTGGTTTGACATACCTCCGAGAGAGTAAAGTTAGGAATTTCAATTGGACACATCAAATTTATGACTATCAGAGATTCAATCAAATGCCCCTATAGCGTGTGTGGTCAATTAGTATGTAGTGAAGCCGACAGTTATGGGAAAACGACTGAAAGTAATCCGGTTACACCCATTCACTAGTGATGTGTACAGTACGGATGAAAGCAATTTGATAATACTAAAGATAAACCAATAAGCTGGCAGATAGAAACAAGTCTTGCGTCACAGGGTAAAGCAGGTTCGGGAAAGAGTGCCTCCAACATTCAGGGAAGTAGTGCGCCCATGTGATAAACTCTCACTGGACATAATATGAAATCTAACGTCATCTGCGAGATGGCTCAGTGGTTCGAGCGCGAATTTAGTGACCGAAAGGTCCATGGTTCGAGCTCGACCTCTACATCTCAACTTCTCCTGTCTAGGCTTGCGCAACCTAGCAGTATTCCAACCCTCGTGCTTACTTTCGGGCGGCATGGCAGCTAGGCACCGAAATGGTGTTAAAGCTGGAAGATTAGTACATTTTCATTGACGTCGTGCGTACTATCAATAGTTCAAAGGTCCTTGGGGAGCGATCATTGCTGTTTGATTACAAAGAGCGTTAGTAAGATCACTTCCTACATCTTTGCACTTTCAGTTAGGATTTGGTGCAAAAAAGAACGGCGAACCGATAAGCAAGGGGAACTCCACATTAAGGTAAATTTCGATCCACTCGATGGGCGTCTCTTATTGAGGGGCTTCACTTATTGAAATTCAGCCAACGGACGGATTTTGTCTTTCACGAACGAATTCGATAAGCGTAAGTTAGAAAAGTAGCTAGAAGAGAACCAGTTCAAGGTGACAGGATATCACGGCACCTTCAATTTCATTAGCCAAAAGTTTGGTTGCACTAAGCTTCATCTACGACTACTGGACAATACTATATCCTTAAAGGTTACTTCACTTAAGTTGGGGAGTTAGAAAGATTGGAGACTTGTCTCTGGTTTCAACCTCTCGAAAAACAAAATTTTCACTAGGAGAAATGGCGCTAGACAATGCAACCATTTATTCAAGCAACCGAACAAAGCTCTTCATTCGGTGACGGACCTTGTTTTAAAGGGTGTCTAAAAGTCTAATTGTGTGGTACAGTATCGCTTGACTTGCTGAGTTCTGCAACGTCGAAGTGCAATGGATGATTAGTCCGGTGGTGGGATGAATCGTAAGGGGATTATAAAAGGCAATAAAAAATTGCATCCAAATGTTCCGGGTACAGAATTTGTTGCTTACATGCCTCGAGAAACCCAGCAGTAGCGTTTCACCCCCTGTGGTTCCCCCCGATCACGGTCCCGAAGAGTGTGCTCGGAGTCCGAGGATGTCCTTGTGAAAGGGTAAAAATGGTCGAGCAGAGTGTCTCGTACACCGGGCACGGTATTGGCCAAAAGGTTGGAAACCAAGCACCGAGCAGATTCATCAGTGAGTGGGGAGGGGCACAGGTGTCGATCGCATGCGTCCGAGAATCCCTCATCTTCATCACCTGATTTGTTCTACAAACCAAGTATGATGTCCAACCAAGATAGAACTTACCACACATTGATCAAACGCATAAGACCTGGTGGAATAGAGTAAAAGATAGTCCGATTATTTCGAGACGAAACACCAAAACTGCGTGAGTGTGAAGCTAACGCTCAAACGCCACACTCATAGCTTGATGAGTTGCGTGGGATCCTACCGGCTGCTTCCAACCGGACGTAAGCAGTCCTTTTCCTCGTCGGAATAGCGATTGATTTGGCCGTCTTTTTCCCATTCTTAAAGGCATCTATATCCCGAACCTTGGAGCCCAGATTAGCTGAAACCTCAGGTCACCTTAGGTGACAAGTATTTCATCTTAGCAAGTGTAAAACGGTACTTGATCGGAAAACACAGTTGAATATTACCAGCAAAGCGTACGAAACACAGCAAAATGGAAAACAAATCTTTCCAGTCCCACGCTTAATCAGAATAGGCGGAGACGAAAAAACGCAGGAGCGACACAGATTTGGGTCAACCTATAAAGACACCTCATGTAACAATCGATCGATTAGATGTCCATTGGTCACATGATTGACGAGGTGTAAGATTCCATACATACAAAAAAGTGCTGAGTGCAGAAGACTGCGTCGCTCAAACCACCAGCTGAAAAATTTCCAGAAAATGTTTATCTGTACCGTTTAGAAATAAAGTACTAAAAGTAAGTAGTAGGTGTCGTTTTATCAAAGGAAATAGCTGAAGAGGGTAACAATACCAAACGATGTTGATGCACTCGTGTGAAATTTAAATTCCACCCTGAAGAAAAAATCACTTGAACTGCAATGGAAAACAACCACCGTATAGATAGGTATTCTTCTGCCTCCGCAGGACACATCGATGCAAACCACGAACCTAGGGTTATAGTCATCCATGAACAGGACAGTCTCCCGGTAGTAACTTCATGTGGAATGAAGTTCGAGGCTGAAAACTTAGCAGTTTGACCAGACTAAACATCATCAGCTGGTTTACCACGTGTTTGATGGAGAACATAACCCGTCCGTTTTCATAAGGAAAACTACTCACAAGGTAGCTGAACACTCGGGGACCGAAACTACCTGAAAAGCCCCAAGAAGAGCAAAACCGGTCATGGGCTGTGGAAGAGTTTTCAAAAACCTTGTGAGTAGTTGCCTCTGTGGAATTATACTGCGATATCTCGAAGATCGTACCAACTGAAACATGAGGCAGCCTTTGTGTAGTCGAAGAATATCATAGACAAGAGATTCAGTTGAATCTCCCGTGAAAACCAAATTGGTTTGCAAATGAGTGTATTGGTCGTCATTCATCTATCATTAGATGCAAAAAACTGTAAGCCGCACAACAAATATTCGGAATGTACGTGCACTGGGATATCCAGAGGGGAAAAACATCCTCGATAAGCATTGACCACTCAGCAATTCATCCTTTTCATAATTTGAGCCCTTGCATGGCACAGAAGTCAATGACACTGCACGTAGAAGGATCATCAACCGGTTCTTCAACCTTACACGGAATTTTAAAAATCTCTAGGAACCTTTGTTTATGGTGTGGGATTTGGGTTTTTTGTGAAGCCTTCGTCCTGTAAGTGGATCCAACCAATGCTGAAAAGCCGATAAGCACTGTACAGCTGTTTCATTCTCATTGCGAGTCATCAGCAATGCTCATTTCACGAAACTGCAGTCTCAAATCCGCGACCTCCTGGCTAGTAAGTTGAACACTTAACTGTTCAGCCACGAGTTGCTGATCAGCATTGTGAAACCTATATTCACCAGGCATTAACAGCTGGCCTTGTTCGGTGTTTCAAACTTGGCCTCATGACTTTGTCAAAGCCATAGGGTTACGTAATCGCCGATATGTCAGTGTCAAGGACGAGTCTGTCAACGAAAAGTTGAAGGAAAGATGGCCGCAAATAAAAATTAAGGCGGGATGGAACTTAAAAAAAACCTTAACAGGAATAGAACTTGAAGTCATAAAACAAACGGAGCAACGACTGAAACCTTACGTGCTTCCGAGGGAGTCGGATGACAGCATTGGAATCCTTAAAGTAGATAATCCATTCCGGCATAAAGTAGCCTTTGCATCACAGCCAAGGGTCGTAAAAGCACCAAGAAAGTGCTTTCCCTGCAGATTGTCATGGTTCAATTTCTAAAGCCTTAGAGAAACGTAGGAATACTGACGTACCTGTACGCTCATGAAAGGATTCCCTTCTGTACAAGATGAGCTAAAATAATCCATAAACTGAGGAGAGTTGAGTAATTGTATAGCGTAATTTACTGTGCACTGGTTGCCTCGATCTTGAGGGTGACACTGTTCGCCCAAACCTCCGATAGGTAGAGTGAAAGTTGAACTAGAACAAGGACTTAGTTACCAACCTTACGTACCTGTCAAAAGTTGTGTACTTAAGCACGTCGTTGTCACTTGGTGTGCTGTTCAGTATTTCACGCTTAAAGAATGTATGGATGGAATAAAGGAAAGCATACCTTGTCAGGAATACGGATGGTCTGAGATGCAGTATCGTCGGGATGGAATGCAGCTAGAACCAACAGAAATGCCATTAAATCTGAAAGATCAGTTGGGGGTAGATAGAGCAATACTCACCTGGATTTAGTGATTCAACTAGTTTCCTCAAAGTCTTAGCACGTGCTTCGCCTCTACATCTTTCAAAAGAAAAGACCACGGCATTTAAAAGCTTGGTGAGTAGTAAGTTGGAAGGCTCAGGATATATGCCGTCGACAAACCTAGTGTTCGTTAAAAAAAACTTGGATTGGAGCTTACTTGTGGGGTCCTTTTTGAAACAAGAAGAACGATTCAAGGGCTTTCGCTCGGAGAGACCGTCTGATTTCATCAAGCTCTGCCCTTGGACGTCTGGCATCCTTCCATCGGTATTTAATTAATTCATCCAACACACGAGAAACGGACAAGAAGCCGTCACCTACGCGCTCCATCGTCCTGGAAAATAAGAGAGACAAGACGGTAACAGTACATAAGAACCAGAACCATGGGCACAAGGTTCTAATAAGAGTGTGTGAAACATCATCCGGTAGATCCCTTGGATGATGAGCATGACTTGTTTCATCTAACTTCGAACCTTCCCTGACACAACCGTTCCATGTGCCTACAAGCAGAAGTTCGCGCGGAGCAACCAAATCAAGGTAGACCGTTTCAACAGGCATGCCAAGCACATGATACCCAACGGCGAACATACAGAAGAGTCCGGAAACCAAGAAAAATGATGTCGGATTCCAAGTCGAACAGCCACGATAATACCTCTGCTTAGTGGCAGTCCGCAATCTACTAGCTAGATTTGAATGCACAAAAGCTAAAGCTGCACACTCTAGCAAAAATCGACTGTTCCAGGAGCAAATCCCATAGAACTGTAGGAAAACGACACCCAATTTTTCTTAAGTCTAAACATACTTTCTTTGAGACCAGCTGAGATTTACGGGTAGAAAATTGATGAAGAGGACATGGGGCAACGTGAATAGCACCCACTTGATATGTTGACGAGTCGAACCAAATGTTGTAACTGGACATTGACCATGCATCCTCGACAATAATAGTAATAGCGGAAATTTCAAATAACGTAGCAAATCCACCGCTTAAATTCAAACTGGAGCACAGGATACATGCCACAAGACCAGACTCTGGTCCTTACGAGTTGGTCAAACTACTAGAGGTTGTATGGTTGTGTACCATCATTGGTCTGACCAAACTACGAGCCGAAAAACTCAACGCGAATTCACCGAGAATAGGACTGTTCACCTGAAGTTCACTGATTTTCAGCGAAAACCACGAACCACAACCAGTAGCCGAGTCACCAAAAAACGGTACAGCTGTAACACCTTTTCTGTGCCTAGCTGCAATGCCACCCGAAGGAAGCACGAGGGCTGGGACATTGCCAGGTTGCCCAAGTCTAGACAGAGGAAGTCGACAGGCAGAGGTCTGGGTTCGAACCACAACCCTTCGGTCAGTAAATTCGTGCTCTAACCACTGAGGTACCTCATCCACCCAAATCGGACCGCAAATCAAAAGTCGTTGTCACAATCATCTTCAGGTATGGATCGCGTACATTTGGAGCAATCGTACCAAATGCCAACGTTTTTCTCAAGATACAATTTTGTTGCACCACCGGCCGAGAAAATTATCCGTCTGGCTATAACCCTCGATTTATTCCAGATCTGGTCCGTATAGTGGCTTTTCACCGTTGCTTTCCTGTCCTCAACATCCGACTATTAGTTATGGTGTTACCGGGCTTGTTGTGCATGGTAGTGACGCAATGATGAACGAGAAATCACGGTGGCCTCCCCATGATTCGGATAAACAGGTCTCGTAGGCCCGTATTTGAGTTCGTATCGTACCATGCACCAAAGAACAACACGGGATCAGTATAAACGAATTTTTGGCACATGCAAACAAGGAGTCTGCGATTATATTCATAACCTGTTTCCTCTTTAGTCCTGAATAATATCGTTGGTAAGCTCTAAGCAGAATGAAACCCATCTATTAGTTTCGAGGGGGCGAGATGGCTCAGTGGTTAGAGAGCTTCTCACAATAACCTGACCTGTGCAAAATAATTCAGGAGCAACTTGGATGCCACAGCTACAAGGGTTCTGAAACGATGGTTTTCGGTTGACGTTCTTGTGCCCTTTTTGAGGATTGGGATCACTGTCGAGGAAACTCATTCCATTGGTAATCTATTTTCGTTCCAAACATTCCACAGTATGGTTGCCAGACCTCTGAAGAGTGCGGGATGTAGACCATCCGGTCGTTCGTAATCGACCAGCGATCTCTACCATTCTTCGAGCTCCTGGTTATTCGGTGTTTGAGGTGCTTGGGTACACCATCGCTGTCGGTATGGCCTGATAAGGCCTTTCTGGCAGCAATAAGATCTGCTGATCTCGACGATATATAGTGTGCATTCAGTCGAGTCGGATGGCTTGAACGAACAGTTCTGAAAACTGAGAGTAGCTTCTTTAACTCGCTTTCATTCAACCTCCAAGTAATCTTCGTCATCCGCATGACTGTGCATCCCCAGTAGCTTTTTGGCCAGATCAGCTCGATACCCTTGATCTACCGAAACCTGTAGAAGTCGATGTGTGGAATTTCGCTTCGGCACGCGTAATATTGGCGGGAAGCGAAGTAATAATCGGGTTCGCAGAATGGCATGATCAAAGGAGAATCTTTGAGAATCTTCATCGGTAACTGGTAACCACATGGTCCGACTGAGTCCAGCAGTCTCTTGCGGCTAACGTCCTCAAAGTAATCCGAAGTAAGCGTTTGTGCTGGAAGTCTGCACTGGCCAGGAACACAATGAGCAGCACACAACTAAAGCATTCGCTCTCCATTGAAGACTGCAACGTGGGGCAGATCTTTGCAAGTTAGTAAGTGATTATTTTTGTTTACCTTTCTGGTCAATGGTTTAGAAACGGAACAATGGCTAGAGGACTCGTATATGGGCTAATCGCACCAAGTCTTTAGAAAGGTAAAGAGAGAATGTGTGGAAGACCGATGAACAAGGAGCTGAGAGGGCGAATGGTACTTCCCGGCCACCCAAGCCGAGAGGGGTTTAGTTGGGGTGATTCACTCGAAAGTCTGACCTACAAGGCAGTGGGAGGATGTAAAACTATGTTCAGACACCCTGTCTCAAGCCTCTGACCGCGAGGCAGAGGACCGTACGGTCTTCTTCAGGGACGCTGCCCAAAGATGATGAATAGTATGTCCTACTCTGCTGCAGGCGGACGGCCTAACTCGAGGGCGCAAGGAATAAGGCATTATTGTCTCATTCCTGATACGGCTGCACAAACCAGGTAATTTATGACCAGCACCGGACTCTGGTTTGGGAAGTACTTTGACCATAGTGAATAGTGTGCCGGGGGTCACGATCAACCGTTGGGCGATCCGAATGTGCGGGTTTTAGGGCCGACCTTTACTAACTTAGAGAGAAGGCAGAATCACTGTCTGGTCGCCTGGGCGAGATGGCCCAAGTGGTTAGAGCGCGAATTTACTGACCGGAAGGTCCGCGGTTCGAACCCGACTTCTGCCACTCGACTTCCCCTGTCTAGACTTGGGGATCCTGGCAGTATCCCAGCCCTCGTGATTCGTTCGGGTGGCATGGCAGTTAGGCACCGAAAAGGTGCTACAGCTGAACGATTTCGTTTTCGTTTTTTTCGTTACGGTTTCTTGGCGCCTGGAGGAAACGCCTTACTGCCTTCATAATCCTATCACAGAGGACAGTACAACTTTACCTCCAGACCTCCTCATAATACGGTTTCTCGCAGAAGGGGGAATCACTGTTCTTCGTCAGCCTCCTCCCCGTTAGCGTTCCTGGCATGCCTGAAACTCTAGGACCTCTGGCCAGTATAGCCCGCAAAAGCATTACAACACAGAAGCCATACCACCACAACAAGGTGACGACTTTAGGTTGGGGGACCGTTGTGCACAATATTTCGGACAACAATTCAGCCGTCCTGCTACTTCTAATCCGGAATGCCCGCCTTCAACACAAGGGTGGATGTGCGGCTCCCCTCAGACTCAGAATTGTCCCAGTACGGACCTCTACTAGAGTTTCACTGTGTTCCTGGTCGTGACCTTCCACATGTCCTTTTCTTCGCCTTACGGCGTCACGCAAATATTTGATCCATGGGCATCGAGCGGGATTTCGATTGGGTAGAGCCTGCACCGACCACACATTCACACTCAGCCGCGTGCAAAGACGGTCCACAACCTTGATATTCCTTGAATTCTAGGGTGCGTTCGTTTCTGCCGATCGGTCGGTGCTGTTAAACACACTTGCTGAACGGGGTATACCCCAGAAGTTCGTGAACATAACCCGGTCACTATGTGCGCATACTTCTGGGCCTTTGTGTACGGTGAGTTCAAAAAAAGCCTCCAGGCTTCGGCTATGTCGGAAGCTAGTTCTGTATAAAAACAACGAGCAACCAGCACACAGATGCAGCAATCGCTCGTCAATGGCCGTACACACTGAGCTCGATACATTTCGACCACCTGATTGAATCTAAGATACACCAAGCCTGTCCACTTGTGCATATTCATATCTCTGGCTACCACAACGTCTGGGCTTCCAGCTCACTACAGTGAAGCATTCAGGGCGTCATAAAACTTGTTGTTTATGGTGCCTCAGCTATTGTCGGCTGAAAAGTGAGCAGACCACACACAATGATCCACTTCCTAACTTTGGATCTCCTTCACAAACGTTGCCAGACGAACCACACAAATGCGACCATCAGGGACTGTCCAGACAACGATCTTCCCGCCCGGTGACTTAGGACGACGATGCCTGCAGAGTGGCCTCCGGATCACCAGTGGTGCGAAACCGGAAGTGATTTGGGTGATCGGATAGTTTGTTCAACCACTGTGCTTGCATCCGGAATGCTTGTTTCTGATGAACAGCACACATCAAAGTCGGTCAAATTCAGTGCGAGAGCAGGAGCAGCTTACCTTGCTCGCCTAAGAGTACGAACACCAAAAGCACTCGGATAGACCGGGCGTCCAGGCTTGAAGATTGATTTCGGGCTGTCTGATGGTGTCAGCTTCCAGACCAATGCCGGACGAAGGGAATCACCAGTCCTAACTAGCAGGCATACAAGGAGTTATTGACGAGTGAAAAGAAATGTATGTAGTAGGCCGTTTTCGCTTAACCGAATTGTTGTACGCGGCAAGTACTACAACCCGGCTGACAACGCCACGCGACAGCCAATGTGACGTGACAGTAGTTTAAGCTATGGGCAGGGATATTGCCAGGACGCCCACACCTGGACAGAAGGACCAAAGTCGTCATCCCGAAAGCCTGACCGCCAGAGAAAAGTACTAGCTGTGAGATCCAAAAGCATTACCACATTTAAAGGACAAGCCACCACACATATCGCAGACAACAAACTGGGATAAAATCGTTTAGCGGTAAAACCCTTTTGCTGTTTAGCTACAGAGTCAACTGAAGGAAGCACAAGGGCTGGCATAAAGCCAGGTTTCCCAAGCCTAGACAGAATATATCGAGATGCAGAGGCCGCGTTCGGATCACTGGGCCATCTCACCGTGGAAGGGCCTGGAGACCCACTCCTCGATGAAAATACCCTCTGCTTCACCACAGACTCGTTTCCGCCATTCCCGGCTGACCCCGCCACGAAGAGACTAGACATAACCGTGGTGTAACGGTTAGCGCACCTCAGCGACCAATTAAACCATACTGGGGGTGTCGCCGTGACACTCACAGTCTCCCATACCAGGTTGGTCAATTGTTAGGGGTCCGATGGTCCTGGTACACCAGGGTGGGGGTTGGAGCATGTGACGACTTGTTCCGTAGAAGCGGTAATGCATTTCATTTCTCGCCAAACACCGATGGCTTGCGGTTAAGGTTTTGAGCGAAAGGCTTTGGTTGGGGACCCTAACCGTCCCCCTATCTAGGCGTAGGCGCGTTGAGAGTATTCCAGCCCATGTATAAACATGGTAAAACCGTGATGATGGTTACAGGCAACTCCAGCCGTCGTTCCGAGAATTCAGCGATCAAAGATGTCCCAGATCATCCACCCCAAGTAACCAATTCTCTCAGTTGTAGAAAAATACAGTTCGCACCGCGTAATAATGGCACTGTCCGAGCCTAGTTCTGGGCCGGAGCCTTCCAAGCTAGTGTTCTCGTCAAAACAACCACCAAAGGTACACAGCCAGTATTAAACACCCAAAGGCACATCAAAAACATGTGCATCACGCCGAATATAAAGGGTATGAGGGTGAAAGGTTCGGGAACTTTCGACGACTTCCAGATGCGCCACCGCCAGCTAGCATTCGGCGGATGCTAGATCAACAGTGTCCACCGATCAGAGCCCGCCTTAGTGATTGAAAGGTAACCAGCCAAATGCGCACGGGACAGGTCATTGGTAGTGGCGGTGCTTAACTCCAAGCGATTAAGCTATGACGTGGCGGAATTCCTCCTAACACACCCTAGTCCTATAAGGCTTTTAAGACCCAGCGTTATGCCTCATTGAGGCCAAAGGTAGCGCGATTTTTTAAGCACACTTCTGGTCTGAGTGTTATGCACTGACTTTGTTTGCATCTCAGTCCTACGCAATTAAAAAATTTCGAAACTTTGAGTTTCCTGTCACACTAAAACCTCATAACAATACACCCAACAAGAGGAAATTATCAATAATCAGCTAAATGTTTGAAATAACGACAATGCCTCGACAGTTGTCCTCATAACCAAGACGGCGTTTTGGGCAGAACAGCTCACATTGGTGAGCTTTGCGCAACAGATACCCACAAGATGTCAAGAAAATTACGTAAACAGTATCGTAGCCAAATTATACTGTAGTATGCATGCTATGGAAGCACCAAGGGACAGTGATTCACGGATTCACGGATTGATACACAGGATCGAGGCTTTTGCCCAAGTTTCCCGGGTCGGTTTTGTTCTTGTCGGTCAGTGGCTGTCGTTCACCTGAAAGGCACAAGTGAAAAAAGGGTGTAGCACTGCTCTTTATGTTCTCAGCGCGGG